CAACATCACTATAAGATGAGATTAAGTTTTGGTTTATTAGCCAAAGGTTCAGAAACTTATGCTGGTAAATGTTTAACAACTAACTCTCCAGGGGACACAGGAGCAGAGGGCTGATTTGTCATGTTTGCTGATTTCTGTAGTATAAAATCTCTCACCATGGCCAGTTTCAAGCAAGCTCCATTGGGTCACCAAGTATGAGGTTAGGAAGAGATGTGCAAAACGGGTCTTTCCAGCCTGGTGCAAGCTGCACCAGCACATTAGTGCAAGGAGGCTACACAGAGCAGGTGCAAACGCAACATTTCTCCTTTAGCTTTTCATGAGCCCCAGAGTCACCAACAGGCATGTGGTGGCCACCAATGCTGTCCACACAGATAGGGCTGCTGGTTTTGGAAAGCTCTTTTTTGATACTTTTTATACTTATGTCAGAAACAGGATAAACTTACATAAAAAGTCTGTGCTCTTAACAAAATCATCAAAGACACCCAAGATTCCTCCCCAAAAGTCTGCAGTGTGGGGGTAGGAGAGCAGAAGCTGAGTCGGCTTCCAGGGGATCCTGGGGTATACACCGCTACCTCCAGCTTCCTGGCCCATTTCTCTGTAGCCTACCCTGGCTCTGCTTCCAATGCACGTTTACTAGGGGCTTCTTTCAGTGATGTGGAAAGCTACAATCTTGAACCTATTTCCTCATCATGATTTAGAAAAGGTAAAATGTCCCCTCTCAGAAAAGATTAGGGTACTGCCTAACAGAAGGCTCAGAACAGGAGGAAAACAGTCCCAGCTTTCCTAATTGAGTACTCTGTGCCAGTTGACCCACCAGGACACCAAATGAGAAACAGTGAGTCCAGTCCTGCCTTCCCTACCAGAGTTCACAAAAACTCCACTTGCAGATACCAGAGAGCACGGACTTTACAATTTCATTTACGTAATATTCCAGTACAGGCAAAAGTCTCTGTGGCGGAAGAAGTCAGAATAGTGGTTGCCTTGGGTGGGAAGGAGTGACTGGGGTGGAGATTATGAGGGAAGCTTTTGGGCTGCTGCTCATGTGCTATTTCTCGATTTAGATGCTAGTTACAGTAGATATTCATTTTGTGGAAATGTATTGAGGTGATCACTGTGTCCATTTCCATTTCTAAATGTATGTTATACTTCAATGAAAAACTTTAATAATAATAATAATAATTTAAAAAACATTTTTTCTGGC